GTACCTTTCGAGTAGGAAAAAATTTCCTCTTGAAGATTTTTTAAAAATTGAACCAGTCTCTGATCTTTCATCTATGTTGCAAAAGTTTTTTTGGTTTATGATTAATTTAGGCAAATAGAAAATCATCATTCTTAGAATGACTATGATCAATAAAAATAATTTTGAAATTTGAAATGCCAAATTGAAACGAAGTGATTTTTTTTAGAATGCTGATTTCTTTAAAAAAATTTTCTATTTTAAAATTCCAAATACTGCCTATTTCCCGCAATCTTTTCTAGACCTTTTTTTTCCCCTTAAATTTTTATTAGTGAAACACCATGAGGTACAGTTGTAGACTTACAAATTTTTGTGCTTGGGTTTCAGTTATACAGTGATTGAATACCCATCCCTCCACCAGTGCCCATTCTCCACCACCACCAGTCCCAGTATCCCTCCCACCCCCACCCCCCCCCATCCCACCCTGCCTCTGTGGCAGGGCATTCCCTTTTGTTATCTCTCTCCTTTTGAGTGCTGTGGTTTGCAAAAGAGACATTGAATGTCAATCTTGTTCGGACTATAGTCTACTCTCGCATTTCCCATCCTGAGAGGAACCTCCCAACACCCTTTATTTGGTGCTCCCTTCTCTATCTGAGCTGCCTTTTCCCCTAGCGTGTGTGGCTGTTCTCAAAGCCATGGAGTAATCCTCCTGGTACTTATCTCGGTTATTTTTGGGCATTAGTCTCCTATTTTGACCTTTTTTTTTTAATTGAAGGGGGGTAGACTTCGAAGAAGTGAGCCTGGAATATGGGGCCATATTCCATGAGACTTTCCCAGATGTGCAAGGCAGACACTTAAATGCTTGTGTCTGGCAATGCAGTGTTGTTTGGGTCCAGTGGTCTGTGGCTCACTGAGGGGCCAGGGGCCAGGGGCCACCAGGCTTTATCACCAGGGCTCAGGGGACATATAATTTTGTGGATTCAACTTGGGGCCCGCACATGCCAGGTGATGCTCTTTGAGCTTTCTTGCTAGTTTCTCACAGACACATTTTTAGAAAGTATAATTGACAATGTCTATTAATTTAAGGCATACAGAGGAGTTCAATATAAAATCCAGATCTCTATGTACAAGTTCAGTCACAAGAAAAATTCTCAATTTCTTTACAATAGAAAACTGAAAAAATATGAAAGTTAGAAATTTTGTTGATGAAGCATATTCAACCTAAGATACTATTTTCAAGATTATTACATAACAGTTATGCCTTTACATGTATAATCTCAACCACTTATAAATAAAATTTTTGAGCGATAGCACAGCAGTAGGGCTTTGCCTTGCACGCAGCCAACATGGCTGACCCGAGTTTGATTCCTCCACCCCTCTCGGAGAGCCCGGCAAGCTACCGAGAGTATCTCGCCCACACGGCAGAGCCTGGCAAGCCACCCGTGATGTATTCGATATGCCAAACACAGTAACAACAAAGTCTCCAATGGAGACGTTACTGGGCCCACTCGAGCAAATCGATGAACAACGGGAGGGCCTTTACCTTTACCTTTACCTTTACCTTTACAAATAAAACTGGCTTATAAAACATTTTATATTTTGATCTGATATCAATATATGGCATGATATCAAATAGTTAATGCCCTGAAGTGAGAGAGAAGACTGAATCAAGGAAACATCCTTTTTACTACTATATTGTCATTGCATAATTTTCATTTTCAATGACTTTCTGACTCTGCTGCTTTTTGCATGATAATCATATGGAACTGATGAAAGTACAAAGGATCTGAGGAAAGGTAGAGTCTTATAGTACAAGACCCCCTCTGTGTATATCAGCACTCAAAAGCAATGGTTCTCATCCTTTTTGTGACTGGTCCCTCTGTCTGACTGTGTTGCTTTCCTGTGTTTTCCCATCTCACTATGGGCTCTTCTTCTTACTGTTTTCACTGGTGCCCCTCTTGAAGTATTCTGGGATCCCACGGGCGGGGGGGCATGTGGCCATTGGTTGAGAAACTGCTCTCAGGCATGTATATAAAAAGTTCAGTCCCTCTTTCAAATACTGTTTTACGTATAGAACTTCATCCCAAAATAACAAGATGGAGTAAATGAAGCAAATGTATTGTTATCTGAGAGTATAGTATATACCTGATAAATATTTAGAAGAGGGACATTAATTATTTTCAATGATAAAATTTGATTTTAACAGATAAAAAATAGAGGGTAAATAATGGGTATCATTTTAAGCCATTTTGATTTCTCCTTTCATTTCCCATCCTCTTTTAACACCATTCCTCTTTCCTTTCCTTCTCTATTTTGATTTTTTTACTTCAGTAGGGTGACTAGCACGTGAAAGACATTATATATAAGTATGTTTATAACTGACTTTCAGTCAGAAACTTCCTGGTGTTTTTCTTGTTTTAAACTAATAATAATAAAAATAGCCCTTTGGTCATTCTAGAAATGAGAGAGGTAATATAAACCAATCGAAAATGGTTACATAAACACAGATCTCTAGGTTATTTGCTTTCTGGGCCTCAGGATTTAATGATTCCCTTATTATTGTAGTCAGCATAAAAATACTGCTCTAACACTAGTCTTATGTGAATGTAAAGAAATAATTTCCTATAAGTCTCTGTCACATATATCACTTAAATTTGCTTAATATAAGTAATTGGGAACAAATAATTTAAATGATTCCTTGAATGGCATAGGAAATATCTCATGACACATTCAAAATACTATGACCTGGTCCAATGCTAAAAAAAAATTAATAGCTGCCCTGTGGGCATGGACCTTTGGCCAACTATTTGAAGGGTCATGGTACTGGGCAAAGGAGAAACTGCTTCCTGTTCTCAAATTGAAAGCCCATACCTGGAGCAGCTATTAGATAACAAGAAAACTTTTTCAGTTTTTTTTAAATATATGAAACAATGAAACCCCACAATATCATTCTTCTTTATAAAAATCCTAGAGGAAATTATTGCTAAATATGCTATACTTGAATAGAAGTCAAAATGACCTTTGGAATCATATTAATCATTACTGTACAATAATAGAAAAAGTATACGGGGATCACTTATCAATGTGTATGAGCCAGAAAAAGCAAGTTAAGTTCAGTTTGAGGAAACGTGTACAAATTTAGATCCATACATTTGTATAGCAATTTTGTTACACCTGATTTGCATGTTAGTTATGGAAAATGAACCAAGTTTTCTCTTTTATGTGAGAGAAATTTGGCATACCACCTAGGGTGGTGGGTTACAGTGTCCTTTTAGATCCCTCTGGAAAGTTTCCGTGTATGTATTATAGAAACATAATCTTGATTCTGTCATTCTTAGTAGCTAAATGATAAAAGCTTTTTTTAACAGTGAAAGCCAAATCACTACTTAACTTTGTAATGCAATTTTTACTAAGTCATACCTAATCCACCAAGAATTGTCATTGAGATCTAATAATTAATCCATTAATCTATAAGTCATTCTGTTCAATCTTTTGATTCCACCTACTATGATATTAATATTACATACAGAAATTACATTCTTATATTTGCAATAAATTCAGTCAATATAGCTTATGTAGATTTTGATTCCCAATTCTTTGCAACAAAAATGACAAAACTTTTGTGCTATTGCTGTTTTGTTTGGGGGTCACACCTGACTCTGCTCATCACTTATTCCTGTTTTTGTACTCAGAGGTGACCCCTGGCAGGCTCAGGGGACAGAATGTGATGTTAGGAGTCCAACCCAGGTTGGCTATGTGTAAGGCCTGCTGCTTTATCCATTGTGCACCCAGCACCTGGATAACCATTTAGTTTTTAGGAAGAAAAAATGTGACAAAATTCATTAGAATTAATAGTACTAATTCTCAATTTACATAATTTTGTTTCCTCTGTTGGTGTAATTGTTTGCCACAAAACCTCCAATCAGTTCAGTAATTAGTGATAAAAACTAAATGATACTAAAGCATATTTATTACCTGTTACTTTTTCTATGTTTTAATTATTTAGGTAAGGTTAATTGAAGACTGAAAAATGTTAAATTAATCACTTTAGGCTTTGTTGGCATAATTTGCTAAGAAAACCAAGAAATGTGTTTTCTTGGATTTTGTTTTAATTGAATTTCCCAAGCTGTTAAAAATGTTCCCACTACATTGCTGACTGGGTTAGCCCTTTGAATATGTTGTTGTTAGCATAATTTATAGCATAATTAGTAATTATGATCAAACCCCCCCAGAAGAATTATAATTTTAAAAACTCCAAGAAATAAGCACCCTAATTCTAGTTTGTTAAGACACATATAAAATGTAATATGGCTTTTCTGTCTTCCCTAGGGAGAAATAAAGGTGTATGTTTTACAAAATAACAGAAAGAACAATTTGTGATTCATCATGGATAATCTATAAAACAATTTACTAAGCTTTGAAACTACATTTTCAAATATTGAATAGACTATATTTTGTTCTCAATGATAAAATACGGCTTTGGTCAGATTGGTAGTTTTATGGAAAACAGGGCATTAATTTTCTTTTTCAAAATTGTCTTCCAAATTTGCTACTTTCTGGCTTTTCATCAAATCATTTTCTGTTAGTGAAATGGAACTTTAATTAAATCTCTATGAACTCACCCAGATATGGAAATGCTCTTTCTGCTAATAACATTTAGTTTTTAATTCTCTTTTCTGGCAAATTTTAAGTGGTAAAGTGGCTTACATCCATCCTCGTTTTGTTCTTGAGTTACAAATTTAGGATATGAACCTCTTAGTACTTATTTGTATAACAACTTCCCCAGAAGAGGCTATTCTATGCTGACTTGCTACTCAGGTTAAAGAGTTTTCTTTAACTTCACTTATGCAATTTTCATAGCATTTTCATAGCACTAGGCATCACAAATATGTTTCCCTCACTGAAAATTCATTTGCAGTTTTTGCAACCATGTATATTAGAAATCTTTATTTTCGCGTTATGGTTCTATCAACTATCATAGTCCTACTTCTGTAAATCATGACAAAGAAATTCACCTGAAATACCTACCAGCAGGAATCCTGGGGGGTAAAGATCCTCCCCCTGGCACTGGATTTGGGGCCTGGATGCTATTTAAAAATCCTGCCCGCAGGAAGCTCGGGCAAAACGCCTCCACTCCAATGGCTGAGAAGGATCCTTTTAAGAGAGTGAAAAAAAATCAGTCAAAGTTTGCTTTGTGGAAAAAAATTGCTATTTAATTGGAATATATATAGTCCACAAAAGCATTCAAGCCTTACAAAGAAGCTATGAAATGAAAAGAAATGCAATGCATTTCCATATACCACCAATCAAAACCAGTCTAGTCCTTAACTAGTCACAATCAAAGAGGGTTGAGAAGCATCAGTATACAAAGATAAAAATTTATAAAACCCTACATTTGACAAACTAGTCATGTATATAAGACATCAATAGGCTTATTTGCAGAATTCTTGTACAGATGCAGTTTAAACAGAAAATAGTCTCAGTAGTATCTGATATGTTACATTAGAAGGAACAGAACTTTCATATAATTTATTAGGCCTTAAAATGAAGCACTGATATCTCTATATCTCATCTCATAGCCATTTTCTGTTTTTAAAATAGTAACCCCATCAATGGCCAAGATCCAGAGACTATAAAACCAAGCTTCTGGAAGTGCGCGCCCGTGAATGCAGCCTTATTATCTAGTTCTAACTCTCAGAGAACCCGGCAGGCTACCGAGAGTATCCTGCCCACATATATGCCTGACTGGGAACACATGTAGATGTGATTAGAGGCTTCCCCAAAAGCCTCCATCCCTCTTGGAGAGCCAAGCAAACTACTGAGAGTATCCCGCCCGCACGGCAGAGCCTGGCAAGCTACCCATGGAATACTCAATATGCCAAAAGCAGCAACAATGATGGTCCTCATTCCCCTGACCCTGACAGAGCCCCCAATATGCCATTGGGCTATACTAGCATGTGACAGGGATGAATGGAGACATTAATGGCACCCACTCAAGCAAATTGACAAACAATGGGGTGATAGTGATAGTGATAGTGATAGTGATAGTGAAGAAAATCAACATATACAAGTGTAGCAAGTCATTGCACTTCACTGTTTGGGACAAAGCATCAAAGTTTGCAATGGTAAAACCAAACCACATGCTTCTTTATTCTTAAAATGAATCCTGTGGAACAAAAATAAGATTACATTTATGCAAAAATTTACTTAATGGATCAGAGAATAAAACAATAACAGAGTCGAAAGAACATTAGAGAAAATCTAGGCAAAAAAAAATCTTGATTTTTTTTAGACTAGCACACTGAGGCCTTGAATGTACATGTCAGATGTGCATGACAAAATATTTCACTGTAGCTTAAATTAAGTAGTAACTAATGATTCCCTAGCTGTTGAGGAGATGGCTAGCCTCTGAATATGAATGACAAATCCTGCACCTTGGTGGCAGCATTACAATTCAGCATCTCAGTGGCCTGGAAAACACTCAAATCACTCAGAAGAAAATGTAATGTATGTGCAATGTCAATGCATTGGCAGTACAGGTACAGGGCATGCCTAAATTTAAACTACAATATTCTAAAAGCAAGTCATTTTGGTGATCCTAAGAAATTCAGCGCATCAAGCCCTGCAAAACCTCCATAAGGTTGAGAAGTTTTCAAATGTAGAGACCTAGGACTGCATCTCCCATGTGCAGTTCTGAAGAACCTTCATTCATCCACCTTGACAGTCTTCATCCCAGAAATAAATGAAAACTTGAAATTTCTTCAAACTTTCACTAGGATTAAAGGGACTTGGTATATCCTACTCTATATATTTTGTTTCTATAGAAAAAGTTGTTGCTGAAGAAAAGTCTTTTTAAATCTTTATAGATGTTTTATGAAAGAACAAAGTTACAATGCAATTTATTCCAGCTGAGAACTATACATTACACACCATTAAAGAAATAACAGAAAGACAATCATATATACTACTAATAACTTGGCTTTTTGTTTGGCTTTATGAGACTTGAGTAAAATTAATTAGCAGAGTTGGATAAGTGGTCTCTTGCACATTAAGAAATGTGGCACCTGGCCACCGTCTACTTAAATTCCCACACGGCCAGGATTCAGAGACACACAAATGAACATCGGTTCCAAGTAACTTGCTGCAGCGACATCTTCAGACCCTAATTATCAAAATTTTAGAACTCCTAAAGCCAAATATATTGCATCCATAACAAACAATACAAAACACATTGTCTAGCATTGCCTTTTCAGGAGTATTGAGTGGTGGTGGGTCTGGTCTCGAAATATCTAAGGTAACTAAAGTAGAGAAAGAGAGTATTGTGCAAGTTGTCTCCCACACAGGCGGTCGGGGGGGCGGGGCGGTGTAAAATGGGTGGGGGGGTTACTTGGGATTTTGGTGGTGGATAATGTGCACTGGTGAAGGGATGGTTGTTGGATTACTGTATGATCAAAACTCCAACATGAAAGCTTTGTTGCTGCAGTTCATGGTGAATCAATAAAAAAATAAATAAATAAATTCATACATTTGTCAAAATGCATAGAAATATACAGAAGGGGAACAAAGAGTAAGCCCTAATTTAATGTAAATTTAATAAATAGTAAGATATCATTAATTATTTATAAATTAACTTCTAAAATAAAACTATTTGAACATAAAAAAAAGGTGTGGAAAAAGTATCAAGTGGAGGTCAGAATGGGAAACTGTTTTCTCCTTTGTTACTGTAGGGAATATTTTTCACTGAGCACAAAACTAATATCTGCTCATAGGCAATGCTTCCCACATAGGCCATTTTCCACATCACAATGTTGTATCACAGTCTGAAAAAAAAACTAATAATGAAGGAACTGCATTGAATACCAGGTGGAGATAATTCAATAACACATTTATAGAACAATATTATTTAAAGTTAAAAAAGAAACAGTGATTTTTCACAACAGTGGAAATATTGCAAGAAGTTCAGATTTGTGTTTTTAAGAACAAAAATAATGCAATTTTGGTTGATTACAAATTAATTGCTGCCAAGGAATAGGAAGCCTGGTTCAAGAATATCAGATAATAAAAATAAAGTAAAAACATAATCATGCACAGGGAAGTAGGGAGTAGGAACGTAATTACTTAAAAGAAACTTGAGTAAAACAAAAATATGTAGATAAATAACTAAATGGCGTTAATAACCTTCACATGTAGAGATTTTTATTTTAGTTTTTGCTATTTTTCAACATTATTTAAAGCTATTAACTTAGGAAAGATACCCATTATTTTAACTCCTTGAAGGAAATGGAATACAAATAATACTTTCTTTAAAAAAATTTTTTATTAGTGAGACATCATGAGGTACAGTTTTAGACTTAAAATTTTTTGTGCTTGGGTTTCAATTGTCACCCATTGCCTCTTTTGCAAAACTTTGTTTTTTTTTTATGATTCAGTTGACTACTGTTTTATTGCTGTCATTTTATAGCAGCTTTCTTTATCTTCAAATTGCTGCATCATTCATATATTTCTATATTTTTTTTAACCAGGGCTTAAAAGTCTTCTATTTACTTGGCATCTTTTTCTTAAGGAGCTGTAAATTTTTAATATCAGAAATAGAAAACCTGGTATAGTCAAATATATATTTAGTGGAAATATTATGCTGTGATAATGACACTTTGCTATTTTTTCCTTCTGGCTAATCAAGTAAATGAGAGTACATGAAATACTACAGCTTTATGATTCATAATTCAATCAGGAAAAATGAAATTATTCTTCATATAATCTCCTTATCTCATAATCCACAAAAAATTAAAGTTCATGAACCTTTTGGAACTTATATTAAATATTTTTTGCCTGTACCACCCTATTTCTAAGTTGCTACTCCGTCTGAGTAGCTATAACAAAGAGTAGCTATTAATTTGTTAATAATTTCATATTACATACAGAATAACTAATCTAATACATAAATCAAGGGAAATGTAAATTTTTATTACTATTTCACTTTAAAATATATTCAATAGACTATGTCTCAATATAAATTAGATTTTATGTCATTATATATATGAAATATAATGTGCCACTACAAGTTTGAAAGATAACATGTCACCACACACACTTTTATAAATCTCAAATACTTACTTTTCCAATTTTTTACTGACCTTGAGTTGACAGACTAATGAGAAATCTGAATATGCCATCAGCATAGTATTGCTTCCATTACAGAGTTTCCATGTAACTGGGTATTTTTATTTGCTAAGTGTGGTAATCTTCCTTATAATGTAACTTTAAGTACATATATCAAATATATGAGAAATACTATTAGCTACTGGAGGAAGGTAAATTATTAAAGTCACTGGCTGTAGAGGTCAAAGAGATCTGTTTTTAATTGACCCAGTGACTCACAATGTTTCATATTGAGTATTTCAAATTATGACTGAGAAACAATATTACTGGTGTTTAGTGTATATGTATATATATATGTATCATATATATAGTTTTGGGGATATACTGATTGTGCTCAAACATCACTCGAAGAGGTTCTCAAAGATCATATCTGGCACCAAGGATCAAACCAAGCTCATACAGGTGTCAGGTAAATGCCTCAAGCCTTGAACTATCTCTCCAGCCCCAGTCTAAGATATTCCAAAAATTATAATTATGAATTATATTATAATTTATGAATAATTTAAATATCAAAAATTCTTTTAGAAAATGGGTTTCTTATATCTTAATAAGATTATATCTTATATCTTAATAAGATTACATATTACTGAAAGAGCTATATTTTATAATAAAGAATTGATAACATCAACATAAAAATTAAAAATGAGCTATATTTCATAAACCAGTATATAGATAAAATGACAGTTAAAAATTTCTCACATATTAAAACGTTTTACTTTCATGTTTGTGTAATTTATTTGTGACTAATGTGTGATTGGAGAAGTTTAGAAATTACCTGTCTAATAGATAAAGCAGGAAAAAGTTACCAAACTACTCATAAAATAAAATGATTTACTTCAAGTGCATGAACAATTGGCACAGGGTCTTCCTATCATCTTCCCTAAGGCAAAGATCCTAGAATTCCATGTTTATAGTTCTTTTTAGTTTTCAAAATTAAAAAAAGTATTGAGATTCTGTGATTTACGAAATTGTTAACTATGGTTTCCTTGTATATA